GTGCAAATGTAGCTTTTTTTTCGGAATAATTGACGGCAGGTTTATATCATAACGAAATATGTGATGTAACAGACAATAAACACATCACTTTTCTGTATGCATTATAAACGAATAACAACTTTTAAATTTTGACATACGCAAGCATTATTATGTGTCAAATTATAACTATATGATACAAATTTTAGCCATAAAGAAAGATACTTACCAGCTTGAATTTATGTTCAGAAGGTCCTTTAGCGAAAAATCCGAATGTTTATATTGTGTCATTATTTGTCATTAAAAACACTTAACACAATCATGTCCAACTTAACCAAACTATGACAAAATCACTGAACTTAACGCTCCTCGATATGACGACCTTATTATCCGTGATCTTCACGGACACTTATACCGACACCGATACATACACTGATTAAATAAAAAGAGAGACCGTGTCAAAATGTGAAATATACTGAATGAATAACCTCGTAAAACTAAGTTGGATTCAGCAGAGGTAAAAAAAATATAAATTCATTATTCTGTACTTGGTAATTATATATTTTTTAATTCAGAATCTGAGCATGAAACACTAAGTGCTCTTGGTTGTTTTGGAATTCCTTTAGTGATGAATTTGTGATATTTCAACGAATTGTCGAATCATACTGATTGGTCATTTTAAAGCAGTAATTTGCATTGCATGTAGATTTTAGGGGGAAAATAACAAAATGGGGAATAATCTTATCAAAAGAGAAAATCGGGTACAACTTATTACGTTCAAGCGTGTACGGTTTGACTGTTTTGTCCAGAAACGTACAAGCAAAAATATATTACATCATCTCGCTTCAGATCCCTTATTTGTATATATTTAGGCTACATTTTGATATAATAACATTACAAATTCATAGCACCAAAACATGAAATATATAGGTCATGTGAAATACCTTTCTTTTGTGCCAAAATAAATGAGTAGGTGTGTTTGAATAACAAAAGAAAAGCTTCGTGCTACTTTAAATGTTTAAACTGGATGTGTATTTCTTACTTGTTTTTTTTTCTACTCCCGTTTACTCATTTTTCAGTGAAAATTTAGACATGTTATTTTTTTGAACTGTATAAAAAACTGTCGGACACATGCACCGTTCACTACCATACCCCTGGATTTTTACTAAAAGCCCTTAGCCTTGAAAGTGGATCTTTAAAATGCATAACTTAAAAAGAAAATTGTTTGTATGTGTTATCTGAGGTGTTTAGTTTTCAACCTCTGCAAATGTTTAGTATGCTCTTTTACAAAATACATAAATAGAATGATTTTAGTGTTTTTCTTTAACTTTCGAAAATTTCCCCTGACAACCAATCAGTTTTAATTGGTTATAGACCTTAAAGTAAACTGCATAATACCTTACAGCCAGTAGATACATTTGTTTTTTTTTTAAATTCAACTGTCGTGAAAGGATCATAATTATGCCATTTGGATAAATTGATCGGTTTTCAAAAGCTAAATTGACAGCTCGTCATCCCTACAATGGCTACCATTTTCACGATTGAAAAAAAAAAATGAGGAGATAATTTTGACGAAGTAGAATCCCGACTTTCTGTGTTAAGTTCTATTAATTTGCACAACGCCCATTCCTTTTTTACAAAGTATTATATGAAGATCGGTCAATTCTCAGCTTCAAAACAGAGCTTATAGATTAACAAATCTTTGAGAAAACAAATTTGTATACAGTGTTCAAAATGCAAATTAGATAAATATTTTATAAATGCCGGTGCTCATTGTACACCTTGACATGACCCTTCTCAAAAAGGTTACCTGTCGTCCTAAGCAATGGTGTAAGTGTCAGTATCGATAAGTTTTCGAAAATGTCTAATATCACGAATGGTAGTAAGGCTTTGAAACTACGTTTGAGACCGTCAAGCTTTCAGTTGATTTTAGCAAAAGAGAGACAAAAGATACCAAAGGGGTGTTTAAACTCATCAGTCGAAAACAAACTTACGTTGCCATGACAAAACGAAAAAAAAGACCAAAAGACTAACAACAGTACAAAAAACACAAAATTCAAATACAGTACCTTTCTTTAAATGGATTAAATTTAAGGTGACGATCATTTTTTTTTTTCATTTGATTTTTAGAAATGAATATTCTGGCCTGGTAAGGGCTGAAAATGAATAAGACAGGATGAAAATGAATATTCTGCAAAACACAAAATTGTACAACATTTCAAAATACAATTTGTGCGGTGAAAAAATAAACATGCTTAGCAACAGATGAATATGAAAAGTCAATGCAGACAAAATCCCCCTCCCCCTTTTCTTCATTGATGCTCGAGGCCAAAATATTTGAAAATCCAATACCTATACTTTGATTAGCTGATAAAACTAAAAAAGGAATTAAAGCATAAACAAATCTATACAGTCTGCTTATGGAATATTTTTACTGTTGGTTACATTATAAACTGTATAAAGTATAAGTATGAAGTATAAAAGAAAATTTTATTTGAAAGTGACTAGAACTATACAGGATACCAAATGTTTGACCTATTGAACATATCTGTCTGTAAGTTACTTTTTGTTGATAATTCATAATCAAATTCAAAGGATATAATATTTTTGGAGCATTTTGTTACAAATGGTCGATCTTTATTAGATAATTGAAATTTGACTTCGTAGATATCACTCCTATGTGACCAAGTTTGTGTCTTCTGTACACAACAACGTCTGTGGATGATACTCTTCTATTCCATCTCATACCACTTTTGTTTTTTTGTTAATATGCCAAGAGCTCAAGTTCATTTGCATATTTTTTTGCTCTTTGTGAACGCATGTTTGTGTTTGGAAATACACATTTTTTTTTATTTACTTTCTCTCGTTGTATTGTTTACTGGATCACCTTATGATCGGTATTTTCTACCTGTTATGAATTGAGCGTACTTTTAAAGAAAGAAAAACTAATCGAGTTATTAGGTTTCCTTGCCATTAAATAATCCGAGTGACATTTCAGCGTACAGGTTCATATAATTTATTTGGGTTTTTAAACTTTTGGTATCTAAAGATATTCAAGAAAGAAAATCTGTGACGAAAGCATGGACTGTATAGTGTATGAAAAGTCGATACATATTTGTATGAATTTTCCCCTAAAGGTTGAAAGTGTTCCTGTAACTAAAGTTGATCCAAAACCTAATATTTTTTAAATGTGATTTAGCCATTGATACAGATGAAATAGTTGAAGTGCTGCTTTTTAGATCCGAAAAAGGCATGTGGACCTTACAAACAAATTAAAAATGTTTCCTGAAAAAGTATTAACCATAGGAACGAATGGAAAACAACTGTTAAAAGAAAATGGTGGGTTAAACCTAGATTTTATAGCTAGCTAGACATCCCACTTGTATTACAGTAGTTTATTGTTCCGAGGAGAACTTTCGATTGTATTTGATTATCTCATTTACTGTTACTATGTCACTAACTAATAGGGATGTCAACTCAGTGAAGCTTTCGTATTGAGTATTCGTTGGGTTGACGGAGCGATACTCGAGTAATCGCTCGGAAAAACATCTACAAAATGGAAACACAAAGTTTTAGCCATTTTACGTATTGTGGGTCTTTGTCTTATGGACGTAAAAACCATCAACATTATTACCTAGGACTAGATAATAGTCCCAGGAATTTTATACCATAATTATTAGCTCATTTTCTACATGTAATATTTATGTAAACTGGCAATAATCTAATCAATTGATTAATAAACATCATTCTATAGAGAAATGACTAATCAAAGAAACAGTCTTTGGGAATCGTAAAGAAAATTTAAACATTAAATGATCAACAAAGGGTGAAGATTGGAATTTACAGGTGCTTTTAATCATTCTCTGATGGTCGACACAGTTTGCAAAGAATTTGTTCTTATTTAGAAATATTATCTTGTCAACTTTTTCTAGAACGAGTGAACTTTGTTACGTTACTAAATGTCCTGCTGATGAAAATATTTGCTCTGACGGTACATAGGTGATGGAATGACAAAGACACGATTAGCTAAAAGTGCAAGCTTTGGAAAGGTTTTCTTGTTCATAGCTTACCTCTGTACGAAGGAAATTTAAATGACAATTAAACGTAAAATTTGAAACATTTTTTAATTTTGATTAATTTTGATTGATATTTTTAAATTTCTGGGGAGGCGCTCTAAATAAAAATATTTTTTTCTTTAAGAAGGCAACAACATTCTAACAGAAAACCGATTAGTCGAGTATCATTTTCGTATTCGATACTCGGTACTCCCGAGCGATACTCGAGTACTCGTTGACATCCAAACTAACTAATGATCAAAATGAAAACATTTTTAAACATATCTATGAATTAATTTTATATATTGATTTAAGAGGTTTCGATTTTTACATTATATTGTGATGCATTGTATTGTTTGTTATGAATGCTCTTTATATATTATATTGTATCAAATTGATTACGGGAGAAGAATTATTTTTTACTTAGTTAACCTATTGCATCATCCCTGTTGCATATTGAAGCAAACGAAATATGTTTAAACTAGACAAAAAACATGATCACTTGAATCGGTATTTTATTTATATTTCAGTCCAACCAGAAATCATAAACATACATATTTTTTCTCTCTTCTAATTGCGCATTAGAAAGGGAAAAATGCCTGAATTGCACTGTAATAGAGACAAAATCATGAATATTAAAACTAACATCATATATATATATATCTAATGTCAAAGGTTATTTTGATGTGTGTTATCCTTCGGTTTATATTTTTGTAAGTTTTATCGTAACATGTCGATATTTTAATTTGCACTTCTTTACACCTAGAATAATGAAATGTTTCCTGTCTTTTTAAAAACGTTCATGTATATTTGCTCCTTTAAAATTTGTATAAAAAACTTTTCCACTGATTTTATTTGGGGGGGGGGGGGGGGGTGAGGGGTGAGGGGGGATTTTCCCCGATGAAAATTAATCAGAAGTAAAGTGTTAATATCAAGTAATTTTATTTCGAGGTATATTTTTACTTTTAGATGGACACACTGAAACAGATATTGCAAATTTGTTTCATAACCTTCTTGAAGTGATAGAAGGATTTCAAAACCAAACGGTAAGTTATTTCTGAAACGTATAAAGATTTTAAAACGCATAAAAAATAATAACATACGTATTCAAATGTACCCTAAAGAGATATTTATAGTTTAAATCTGGTGTCGTACAGTTGGATACGTAAATGCTTTTACTACATTTTCGTAGATACGTCTACTGATGGGCTGTTAGTACCGAGGGTATAATAAGTCCACTGCTGGTACTGGCAAGAAAATACGGATATTGTTTTATTGAACATTGCTGTTATAAAAGTTTAGATATCATTTATATTAAGAAATGTATCATCATCAAGTACAGCTCTGATTTCTTGTCCGATTTTTTCCTATACCTTTTGTCTGTTTTGGTTTATCACCTCTTCAATGTTTATATTGGGTTGTCGATTTTCTAATAATTTGGTCTCCATCATCACTAAAGATACATTAATTGTTGAAGTTCTATATGGTGCAGTAAAATTGATACTGGAAATGTAATTACAAGCACAGGGTCGGTACTTCCGTTGTCGTTTCCCTCAGGTTATCACTAAGTCCAGTAATTACAATGTAGTAATTCGGTGCGTGAAAAAAAAAACGGATGTTGTAGCTGTTATAAAAGTTTGAAATTATTTAAAATATTATAGCTCTGATTCCTTGTTCTGGTTTGGCTTTAATTTTTTGTCGTTTTTTTTTTATATTAGCTTTTCAATGTTTAAATTTGGTTTTTGGTTTTCAAGTAGTTTTGCCTTGAGGATTAATGAAGATGTATTGATAGCCAAAATTCGCATTGTATTTAATGGTTTGTGTGTTCTAATTCATATGTCAGTTGTAGCCAAATCTAATGATTAAAAAATAACATAGAAACTTACACAACTGTTGGTATAAATCACACTTTAAAAAGATAAGAAGATATACATAATAGTGCGATAGAATGGATGGATGGTTGTTAAACGCTAGGACGTCATAGCCTTCTGCTTTAGTGAATACAGTGATAAAACTTACTTATTATATAAATAATCTGTCCTGTCGGACCGCGGATATCTACGATTCTTTGATAAACATACACTGATTGTGTGCGTATTTCTTTTTTTTTATTGGAAACTATTTGTATAACTGTATATGAAACTTCTGAGGGGCGAATCCCTTATGTGTCGAAACTGAGACAAGATAAGCTTCTTAAATTTTTAGAAGTCAAGTTGTTGGGTCTGAAAAATGTGATAGATGTCTTTTTTAGAGATATAAAATTTTTGTCCTAAATGGAAAGGCGTTCCCTCCAACCTCCACACCCGGAAAAGTTGTCATTGGCAATTAGACGACATCTTTTTTTTTAATAGAAACCCTAGATTTGTTGGAAGTGTTCACATGCAATGCTCTGTTATATATTTGAATTAACGATCAAGGTCATGTTAACATGAGCACACATTGATTATTTCGATTCAAAAAGGAAAATACGGTAATTTAAAAGATTGACGCGAAGATCAGGTGTGTGGCTTTTCTATTTTATTTTCTGTAAGATAAAGCGAAAAAATTCTAATTAATTAATGATTGCATGAATTATTATGCTACAACTTCAAGAAAACATGTGTGTTATCCTTATACACTGTGTAGCATCAAGCCAAACATTTACAGGTTATAATTTACATTTCGTTGGCTACTTTCCCAATCAAATCCACAGTACATGTCGTAAGCAAGAAGTAATCTCCATCTTGACTAGCTGAAATCTTTTTACGTGCGAATAATGCAATATAATCGATATTCTAATGCAATTTTTATATAACATATGTTTTTCATTGGTAAAAATTTTACCATCAAATCCAAGGTTGACATGTCGTAACAACGGAGTGAGCTGCAATATTAAATTGCGTCGATCATTAAATGTTATCGAATTTTAATTTTATATGCTTTTATGCATCAATATTTTTTTATATGCATATAAATAGGAATATTTCTTTTTCTATTTAAATTTTTAAACAATGAAACAAACATACATGTATTGTTTGTTTTTGATTGTTTTTCTTTTTTTTTTTGGGCCATGGCGTTGTAAAAGAGAGGCGAAGGATACCAAAGGGACATTCAAACTCATAAGTCGAAAAAAGACTGACAACGCCATGGCTAAAAATGAAAAAGACATACAAACAAACAGTACACAAAACAACATAGAAAAGCAAGACTGAGCAACATGAACTCAACCAAAAATAAAAATCGGGTGATCTCAGGTGCTCCGGATGGGTAGGCAGATCCTGCTCCACATGTGGCACCCGTCGTGTTGCTCATGTAAGTACAAACCGGTTGACATGTGTTATGACGAGTTTGTAGTTATTACAAATGAAACATATCCGTCGTCATCTGTGAAACAGATATTCGTTATACTAGATCTGTTCTGTTTTTTTTTTTAATTTTGTAAATCTACTGATCGAGATTTAAAAAGAGAAAGGTAGAAATAAACCTATATAACACCGCCACTCTTTCAATGTGCCTTCACAAGTCGGGGAACCAAAGATAAGGTAAAAGATGAACATGAGATATAAGAAATTACAGGATTTAAAATGATTGACGTGTTCCAGTATGGAACAGTTCTAATCTCGATAAAAATTTGACATGGACTTCAATTCTAGACACCTTTAGAAAAAATTCTAAAAGAAGCGGTTCTACCATACAACAATTTTGGACAAAAAATTCTAACCAAGAACACTTTTGGACAGTTCTCAAAGAGAACTGTTTTGGACCGTTTTAACCAAGAACAGAATCTGTCAGCTCTATCCTAGACTGTGTTTGTTTGGGAGGATTGATATCTTACAAAACATGTTTAACTCAGCCGCTTTTTTGCTCCTGTCCAAAGACAGGAACCTCTAAAATTTGTTAGTCATGTGTCTTTTTTTAAATTTTGATGTATTTGTATGTTTTGGAGTTTAGTATTGCGTCCATTTTGCTGAACTGGTATACATTATTGTTAAGTGGTCAGCTGAAGCCCGCCTCCGGATGCAGAACTTTCTCGCTGTATTAAAAAAACTTTGGTGGTCTTGAGCTGTTTTCTGCTCTTTAGTCGGGTTGTTGTCTCTCTGACTACATAATTCAAAATCTAGTGACTATGTTGAACGCATCTATCCTATCGAACTTGAGATAAAGGATGAGACAGATAAAGTTAAGTCTGTCCCATATCTTGACTTACATCTTGAATTGACAACAATGGTCGATTGAAAACAACACTTTACGACAACAGAGATGATTTCAGCTTTCGAATTGTGAACTTTCCATTTCTATGTAGCATCATTCCAGCAGCGCCTGCATAAGGAGTATATATCTCCCAGTTGAAACGATATTTCAGGGCTTGTATATCTTATCATGATTTTCTTGATAGAAGGTTGCTGCTCACAAGGAAGCTATTAAAACAAGAGTTCCAAGTGGTGAAGTTGAAATCGTCCCTACGTAAATTTTACGGACGCCATTACGAACTGGTTGACCGTTATGGAGTATCCGTTTCACAGATGACAACGGATATGTTCCAATTTTCGTAACTTAAAAACCGTCCCCTTTTCGCCGAATGTGACAAACCGAATTAGACTTCACCGGGATTGTACTTACATGAGCAACATGACGACGCAGGGTCTGCTTTCCCTTCGGAGCACCTGAGATCATCGTTAGTTTAAGGTGGGATTCGTGTTGCTCATTCTTTGGTTTTCTATGTTGTGTTTTGTGTACTGTTGTTTGTCTGCCTGTCTTTTTCCTTTTTTAGCAATGGCATTTCCCATTTTATTTTCGATTTATGATTTAAATGTCCTTTTGGTATCCTTCGCCTCTCTTTTGACGCATTCCCCGTTTCCATTCTCTATTCTTTTTACAGTTCTATTTAAAACTAATGTTGATAATTCTGAAAAAAAAAATGAACATGACAGTTTTGTTTGTAGAACAGTTTTAAATAATATATTTATCTAGTATTCAATTTATTTATTTATTTAATTATTTTATTTTAATTAAATTAATTCATTAAATTCAACTTATTTATTCAATTTATTTATTCAATTTATACTGAATTGATTTATTCAAACTGTTTAACTTTTTTTTATTACTTATCCTACTTATTATATTTGTTAATTTTGATATATATTAATTAATTAATTATAATAAAAAAAATACAAAATATAACTAAAAACCAATTGTTCACAGAACAATTGAAGGTCTTCCCACATAACATTTCTAGATAATTGATTAGAGGCACCTTTTTCTTACTCAAAGTTACTATTGGCGTCCAATCATAGGTTTCTTCATACTGATTCAAAAAATATATGGTTTCTTTATACTTTTGACTTAAATATGGGAGATAATTTGCTACTTCCGGTTACGAAAATTTCATTTTCAGACACATATGATAGCTTAACTGGCACTAATTTCTAAAAATATATGGTTTAATATATTTTTGTCTTAAAAATGGGAGATAATTTGCTACTTCCTGTTAAGAAAATGTCATTTCCAGACTCATATGATAGCTTTTTTGCACTGATTCTACAAATATATGGTTTTATATACTTTTGTCTTAAATATGGGAGATAATTTAGATAAGAAAATGTCATTTCCTGTTTCATAAGATAGCTTACTTTCTACTTATCCCGAAAATATTTGGTTTCTATATACTTTTCTTTCAAAGGGAGATTATTAGCGACTTCTGGTGTACAGAAGTCGAATTCCGGTGTCATTTTAAGGTTATTGTATGCTAATTTTAATAATATTAAGTTTATTTTTTTCTTGAATAAGTGCAAAAATAGCTACTTCCGGTTTGCATAAGTTCACTTGCGGTTGATATTTTTCAAGTTCATGTGTCACCCAACCCTTTGCAAAAGACACTATGACTTTATCATGTACCAGAATGGAGTTATTTTCTATTTACCTTAAATTTTAACATTTAAGGGGAAATAACTCCTATGAGATGTCATTAGATCGCTTCGGACTTAATGTATCATTTGTTCGTCTTAGCAACCCAAACATTTAGCATCAGTTCTTTTATATGTAGCTTTTATAGTATAAGATAGGATGC